CCCGCTGACTCCCCGCCGACGCGTCCAGGCCCCGGCGTCCCGCGAAGACCCGCGCCCGCCCGCGCAGATCCCGAGCAGCGGCCCGACATGGCGAAGAGCACGGCCATCGGCATCGACCTGGGCACCACCTACTCGTGCGTGGGCGTGTTCCAGCACGGCAAGGTGGAGATCATCGCCAACGACCAGGGCAACCGCACCACCCCCAGCTACGTGGCCTTCACCGACACCGAGCGCCTGATCGGCGACGCGGCCAAGAACCAGGTGGCGCTGAACCCGCAGAACACGGTGTTCGACGCCAAGCGGCTGATCGGCCGCAAGTTCGGCGATGCGGTGGTGCAGTCGGACATGAAGCACTGGCCCTTCCAGGTGATCTGCGACGGCGACAAGCCCAAGGTGCAGGTGAGCTACAAGGGGGAGACCAAGGCGTTCTACCCCGAGGAGATCTCGTCCATGGTGCTGACCAAGATGAAGGAGATCGCCGAGGCGTACCTGGGCCACCCGGTGACCAACGCGGTCATCACGGTGCCCGCCTACTTCAACGACTCGCAGCGCCAGGCCACCAAGGACGCGGGCGTGATCGCGGGCCTGAACGTGCTGCGGATCATCAACGAGCCCACGGCGGCGGCCATCGCCTACGGCCTGGACCGGTCGGGCAAGGGCGAGCGCAACGTGCTCATCTTTGACCTGGGCGGGGGCACGTTCGACGTGTCCATCCTGACCATCGACGACGGCATCTTCGAGGTGAAGGCCACGGCCGGCGACACCCACCTGGGCGGGGAGGACTTCGACAACCGGCTGGTGAGCCACTTCGTGGAGGAGTTCAAGAGGAAGCACAAGAAGGACATCAGCCAGAACAAGCGCGCCGTCAGGCGGCTGCGCACCGCCTGCGAGAGGGCCAAGCGCACCCTGTCGTCCAGCACCCAGGCCAACCTGGAGATCGACTCCCTGTTCGAGGGCATCGACTTCTACACGTCCATCACCAGGGCGCGCTTCGAGGAGCTGTGCTCCGACCTGTTCCGCGGCACCCTGGAGCCCGTGGAGAAGGCCCTGCGCGACGCCAAGCTGGACAAGGCGCAGGTGCACGACCTGGTGCTGGTGGGGGGCTCCACGCGCATCCCCAAGGTGCAGAAGCTGCTGCAGGACTTCTTCAACGGGCGCGACCTCAACAAGAGCATCAACCCGGACGAGGCGGTGGCCTATGGGGCGGCGGTGCAGGCGGCCATCCTGATGGGCGACAAGTCCGAGAACGTGCAGGACCTGCTGCTGCTGGACGTGGCCCCGCTGTCGCTGGGGCTGGAGACGGCCGGCGGCGTGATGACGGCCCTGATCAAGCGCAACTCCACCATCCCCACCAAGCAGACGCAGACCTTCACCACCTACTCGGACAACCAGCCCGGGGTGCTGATCCAGGTGTACGAGGGCGAGAGGGCCATGACGCGGGACAACAACCTGCTGGGCCGCTTTGAGCTGAGCGGCATCCCGCCCGCCCCCAGGGGCGTGCCCCAGATCGAGGTGACCTTCGACATCGACGCCAACGGCATCCTGAACGTCACGGCCACGGACAAGAGCACGGGCAAGGCCAACAAGATCACCATCACCAACGACAAGGGCCGCCTGAGCAAGGAGGAGATCGAGCGCATGGTGCAGGAGGCCGAGAAGTACAAGGCCGAGGATGAGGTGCAGCGCGAGAAGGTGTCCGCCAAGAACGCCCTGGAGTCCTACGCCTTCAACATGAAGAGTGCCGTGGAGGACGAGGGGCTCAAGGGCAAGATCAGCGAGGCCGACAAGAAGAAGGTGCTGGATAAGTGCCAGGAGGTGATCTCCTGGCTCGACGCCAACTCCCTGGCCGAGAAGGAGGAGTTTGAGCACAAGCGGAAGGAGCTGGAGCAGGTGTGCAACCCCATCATCACTGGCCTCTACCAGGGGGCAGGGGGCCCCGGGGCCGGGGGCTTTGGGGCTCAGGCTCCCCACGGTGCCTCTGGCTCTGGCCCCACCATTGAGGAAGTGGATTAGGACACTTTCCTGGCTTGTGCATGTTCTTTGGCACTGCTGAAACTCAAGGACCTTGCATTTCCTTATATTTTAAAATACTTTTGGCCTTTTTCCCCTTTCATTTATAATTAAGTTGTAATGCAAAGGTAACTCGCTATCATTTTTTTGTTAAGGGTTTGTATATAACTAGTGTTTATTATTAGCATTATTTGCATTAGTGTACCTTGGTAATATAAACTTTTCAGTCCTCTTAATCTTCACATGAACCGACACTGCCACCTTCTGTCTGATTTCTGCTTTGCAAAGCTTGCCAAAGTCAAAAGACTGTTTTATTTTTATAATGCTTACTTCAAGTTGAAAAATAAAACATGAAAAATATGGTAATGTTTCTCTTGTTGGTATTTGGGGAGTGACAACTCCCATCCCTGGTTGGGGAAACCAGTAAGATTGCTGGTTTGGTGACCAAAAGGTTTTGGGGATTCGTGTTCACCCAAAGGTATCTGGGAAGAAAGGCCTGGTATTGTATTTGTGAGAAATCATGGAAAACCCTTTGGAGCACAGTTCTGACACATTAGAGTGCCACGAGTTAGGGGTCACTTAATGACAAGCGGTTTAGGGGATTGCCAACCCAAACCAAATTCACTGCCCTCAAGTTGATGCCTGACTCCTAGTGGCCCCCTGTGGGTTTCCCAGAGTGGCTCTTTATGGGAGTGGAAAGTCCTGCCTTTCTCCTGCAGAGAGGCTGAAGGGTTGAAGCTGACCACATTCATTGCAGCCCAATGGGTAACCACTACACCACCAGGGTGCCTTTGGGGCTGGGTATATTTGAATTCCATGGACAAAGAAAGGGACAATGCTTTGGAGGGAAAGGAACATTATAAAGGGACTTCAAAAAAGTTTATGAGGAAGTGGGATTGAAAGGTAATAGAAAGGTCCACAAACCTTTTGAAGCTCCCTCTGATACCAAGGACCATGCCTGGACTTGAGATTCACGGTGGGAGTTGAATGACATCTTGCTAGGGAGAAAGCAAAAATGGCAGGTGCCCATTTTGATTGCAATCAAGTCCACAGTAAGGTGTTAAGGAGAAGTTGGTGGGTGTTGACTGGGCAGGAGTGGGCAGGCCCTGTGGAGGGTGGTTCCTGCTTCCCAGCTGTCTGCCCTGCACTTTGCGTGTTTCATTGTTAACTCCTTACCTATGATTCCTCTAGGCTTTTATTTAGCTTACAAAATTGGGGGTGGATAAAACACCTTGACTGTAAATTCCTGGGGTTACCAAGTGCAAATTACATAGCCTCCTTTTGCCTTTGTTGCTTCCTTTTAAATTTCCATCCAAATGGCCTTCCTTCCCAAGCCTTGAGATCATTTTCAGTAGAAACAAGGGAGTTTCAAAACTAGCAATGTCCTTAGCACCTTCCCTAGTAGGAGAGACCCACAAGACCTTTCCTTCCCACACAGCCTGGAACTGACTACTCCCAACTCAGTCAGACTAGAGATCCATTGTTATATTTGTCACTAAATCTTTGCCTTGTGAAAAAAGGAAATATTTAAAAATGAACAAAGTACAGTAAACTTGTAAAGGAAGAGGAATATGGTAAGAATTCTTTTGGTTCCTGGGCTACTTCTCAAAAGGCTAGTTTAGTTGTTAGCTAACTGAACCTTTCAGGAGTATTAAGATGCAAGATGCAATTTAACTGCTGTAACAGGAGTAATTGGGGCTTCTCTGTTGTAACTGCCAGAAAGTAATGGGAACAAACCCTTTAGTTTTTTTTTTCAACCCTTTAGCTTTTAAAAAATATTTTTATGAATCATTTTATTGGGGGGATCTTACACATCTTATAACAATCCATCATTCGATTGTATTAAGCACACTTGTACATATGTTGCCATCAACATTCCCAAAACATGTTCTTTCTACTTGAGTCTTTGGTATCAGCTCCTCTTTTTTCCCCTCCTCCCACCCTTGTGAATCCTGGACCAATGATATATTATTATTGTTATTTTGTATCTTACACTCTGTCTTTCCCTTCACCCACATTTCTGTTATTTGTACCCCTGGGGGTGCTATATATCCAACCTTGTGATGGGTTCCTCCTGTCTCCCCTTCCCACCAAATCCTTGTACGCCCAGGGAGCCACAGTCCTCTATCCAAATATTAAAATCATTTGGAGAGAACTAAAAAGAAACTGATGTCTCTCAGACTGATTCAGAATCTCTGGGTCTAGACGTTTGTATACTCTTTAAAACTACACGGGTGAGACCTGTTCGACTAGAGGCTGCTCCAGATTTTATTTTCATAGGGAAGAAGGAGGTTCTAGGAGAGAGATGACAAGGGGGTGTCACCGGTTTGGAGGCAGAAGTTGGTGGCAAAGGACTTTCTGCTGGTGAGCTGGGGTCCAAAAGTTTGGAGTCTTAAAAACTTGACTGGCTTGAAGAGGTAAGGAAATCATCAACAATAATTTAATGGGGTGTGTGGGGGTAACTTAATGGGGACATAAGGGAACACTCTGAAGCAGATCCAATTAAGGTCAAGACACCCCCCCCCCCCAGTTGGGCAAGTGGTTCATTAGGAAGCAACACCAGAATCGCAGTCATTGTCTATTTATATCCATACCAGAGGGCTTCAAAAAGCTCGTGGAAAAAATTCCGTTTTCCCAAGAACTTTTGAAGCCCCTCATACACGTTTGGAAACTTTAAAGCTGAGCTCCTAGGAGCTGAAAATGTGCCAACTGAAGACGTGAATACTATAGGTTCTTGGAAGTGAATATATGTATGTGAATACATACATGTATACATTTTAATGGAAGGCTGGGCCTTTGGGGGGGAAATAAATGCCAGGGGGGAGTAAGTAATGGGATATATTTCCTGCACTCACAGTGGCCACCTTCCAAATTTTTATGCTCACGGCACCTAAATTCTATGACTCAAAAAGATTGGTTTTCCAAGGTTTGCAGCCCCCAAATCACCCTCTTGCCTTTCTCACAAAACATGAAAAAAAGAAAAGATGCCAACATAATCACCAAACACGATCTGCATTTGGAAACGAGGGAAGTTTAGGGTGGGATTTGGGATAATATACAAATCGGCGAACGAACTCAAAACCCAAACACACTGTCCTAATGGTCATAGCGACGCCACAGGGCAGGGTGGGACTGCCCCTGTGAGCTTCCAAGACAGTCACTGCCCTTGGAGAACCAAGGGCAAGTACAAACGACTTAAAACAGGGCCTGTCAACAATCGTAGCCCTTATTCGGTTAGCTCACAACTCCTGCACGCCCACCTGGTGACGGTGACAAATGGCGCTATTCAGAGAGCACCTCATACTTTCCCTTGTCTTGGGCCAATTTCCGGGCCACCCACCGCTCAGGTGGCACCGGTGAGGACGAGGGAGAAGTAAGTCCATGGGCTTTAAGGGCCCGCGCAGGTGCGGGTCGCTTTCTTACTGCCCGGCCACCTGTACAACCGACGACTGGACGGGCCGGCAGGGGGCGGCAGAGGGCCCACCCGCGCGCTGGCGCGCCGGCGCCGGGGGCTTTCTCGCGCCTGGCCAGCCAGTTCACCTGTTTTTTGTTTTTCAAAATTCACACAACGCCCCAGCATTGGCTCAGGAGAACGTTCAACATTCTCCCATGGCCTCTTTGTCATCTTTGTCACTCTGCCTCCTTCGTATTTGAGTGGACGGTGGCGAGAAAGTCACGGATCCAAGCAGGCATCTACGAAGACAGCCACGCCGTTCAGGCCCCCTAACCTCGCCTGGCTATAAATAGCGCTGGCGCCGCCCCATTCGCTCTCTTGTTCCTGCTGTGGCCGGACCTGCACGTGGTCACTATGGAGGGGCTCTCGTCCGCCGGGCCTGCCCGGTGCTGCCGTGGTGGGAAGGGAGGCCTCGCCGCCAGGGCGCCCGGCGCCTTCTTGGCGCGTCGCCGCGTGCAGGTACCGGGCGCCAGGCTGGGTGAGGGGACGTGGCCTGGGCTGAGAAGGATGAATTCCCATTACAGACTAGAGTTTCTGATGTCTCCGTGACGCCATTGCTCGGAACTGACCCAGCCCGGACCAAGGTGAAGTTGATGGACTCGACCAAGGCCTCTGCTGACGCGTCTTTTTTGTTCCCCTTTTCTCCAGGTCCCCGAGTCCCGCAGCATGGTGGCGCAGGGAGTGGGTGCTGGACTGCTAACCGCAAGGTCAGCAGTTCAAAACCCCTAGTCACTCCCCCGGCGAGAACGAGGCTTTTTAAAACTGCCGTAAAGCGTTGCCGGGTCCCGATGGCCGTGAGAGCCCGCCAGGCATCTGCCTGCAGCACCACAAGGTGAGTGTTGTGGAGTGATGGTCGCAGGGCGAGGGCGAGGATGATGACCCCAGGTGATTCTGAGTGACTTTGCTGACGCATCACCGCAGCGCGCTGACGACCCCTCTGCCCCACAGGCCGGGAACCCTAATCCCTGGGTTTTGGGGAGAAGCCATGAGTCCTTGGTGTAACCCCTTTATTCTTAATTCCAGTGCCTCGGTCCGTCAAGCTGTTGTCATTGAATAAAGGTGAGTTTCCCTTATCCAAGTGCTTCTATTGATACTTGTCCCCACGTTGTATCTTCAGGAGGCACAAGGACCTGCCTGCTTATATGATACATAAGGAGCAGATGCAAATGTCTGCTCTTGATTTTCCAGGACCTTACTTCTTGCCTTACATTACTCGTGTGTTTATTTTAGTTTCTGTAGTCGCCCATCTTTTTACTAAACGTTCAGTCTTAGCCTTCCACTTTGTATATTCGAAAGGAACGTTTGCGGTCTGCCCTGGGTGTTTCCCTCGATGTTACTAGATCCGTGTTGGAGAATGGCTGCTCTCACCCACGTCTCCCGGCCCGACATTTGGGAATGATGATTTCTCAGACTAGAGTCTCTGACTGGTCTTGATGTCTTTTTGTTGTCTGACTCATTTGGGGAAGGCGGCAGACACTTGGGTTGCTGAGAACAGGACCTACAGGGATCTTCACTGTGAGCCGTCTCGTTCATTGATTATTTTGTTTCCCTTGCTAGTGAGAGCCACGGGAGCTCAGCCAGTACCCTTTCCAGCATGGCGGCCTTAACTCGATTACTGAAGGACTGGAGTCTGCCTGCTTCTTGCAGAAGCACTTTCAGATGCCCCTTCTAAAGCATGGCAGCCGTGGTGAGTGTCCTCCATTTTGCCTTCCAACCCAGAGTGGGAATGATGACTTGGTTGGACTAGAGTCTCTGAGTTCATCTCTGAGGATCTTTGAAACCACCTGATCCACTCTCCTCTCCCTCTGCTCCACTCCTTGCTGCCTGCTTGAGCCTAACATGTGTTCCTTTTATGAACTTACAGGATTTTACACACACCCAAGAATGTGTCACCTGCCTGGGGTTGGACGGATCCTGAGGACTTGACATCGGCTTGTGTATTAGCACGAGCAACTGACAACTGAAGGAGATCTCTAGAAGTGCTGGATGACTTAGTGACGAGCAGGTGGCTTTCACCCGTATTTCGTTATCTTATACAAGTGCCTGCTTTTTAGTCGATTGCAATAAAATGTTGATAAGTGGCTTTTTTTGTCTTTCTGGAAATAAGATGGTACAAAACTATTGGAGATGGTGAAGGGTATAATGCCCTATTGACTTTTAACATTGGGGTTTTGATGGTGCTGAATAATATCATGGGCCCCTAATTGGCCTTTTGATGTATCCATGGAAAGATCATTTCTCTTAGAGGGGATTCTGTTCATGGTGCTCATCAGGATATGAGCATTTAACAATTTTAGGCACCTTGTACCTGCGAGGACAGGAGCCCTAGTAGGGAATTACTCTCTTAGAGGTGTCAGCAGCCTGCTCTGCAGGAGAGCGATAGGGGCTTTCTACCTCTAGAAAGAGTTGTCAGGAATAGACAGTTCTACCCTGTCCTGTGAGGTTTGAGATTTTTACACCCTAGAAGGTATGAAGTGCCTGCTAGAGATGCTGATGTGTGGTCCGAATGGAATGTCAGTTCTTAACCCCTCACTTGACACTCCAAAATGTCCCAAGTTAAATACTGTGATTTTTTTAATGGGTGTAATTTTTAAAAATCATTTTACTGCGAGCTCATACATAAATAGGTAATTTTTGTTAAAATTCTAAGTCCCTCACTGGTTCCTTGGAGTTTTAGAATATACATGGTTAATAACGGCTTCCTATGTTCCCACCTTGCTTCTTTCAGCCTTGTTAGCCATTCATTCACTGCACTGCTCTAGCCCTTTCCCCCCCTAGTCCCCATCATTTTACCTGTGCTCCGCTCACCCACCCCACTGCCCCTGCTCTGGATCTGCTGTCACAATAATCTGCATATAACCCCCTCCCAGGGGGGCGGACAACAGAAAGTGGGTGAAGAGAGGCTGGTCAGTGTAAGGCATGAAAAAATGATTGATAAATTATCAATGGTTCATGAGGGAGGGAAAAAAGCCAATACCAAGAGCTCAAGTAGAAAATGTTTTGAAAATGATGGCAATAAAAGTACAAATGTGCTTGATGCAATGGATGGATGTATAGATTGTGATAAGAACTGTACGAGCCCCCAATAAAAGGGTTTAAAACAAATCTGTTCTATTACAGTACCTCTACTTCAGGCTCTCCATTGGAAGGTGGCACCCACTTCCCATTCTAGAATGGCATTGCTGTTAACTAAATGCCAGCAGCATACAGTGTCCGCCACGATACCCAGAGGTGGGCAGGCCGGATCACCAGGAGACTGGGAGGAAGTGACCATGTCGCCTTCACTTCCTGTTTTTGCCTCTGAGCTGAGTAAATCTGGCTCAGTCACAGCCGTGAATCTGCCCATGGCCGACCTGACCTTTGACCTCTGCTAGACCCAAGAGGGCAGCCCTTTGCTGTTTCAGAACTGTCCTGCCCATTCCTGCTTCTGTCCTCCATTCTCTCATTCCTCTCCCAGTGCCTGCCTCCCACGTACCCTCCTGCTCCCATGGTCTCTCAGCTGCACCTCCTGCCTGCAGGAGCCTCTAGCCCTGCTATAGCAGTTAGCCCCCCACACTCTCCAGTGCTGGTGAGACATCCCCTTGCTCCTGAACCTGCCACTTCCCACCTGAGCAGATCACTGACCATTTGAAACCACCTGCCCCGCCCCCCAAACTTGTTGCCATCAGCTGATTCTGCCTGTGGATGAAGTGCTCCCGAGGGTTTCATTGGCAGTCGTCACAGTGGCGCTGTTGAGTGGATTCAGACGTTTGCACTTTATGCTGGCAGTTGAGGCCAAACCATTTGTGGAACCCTGGTGTCCTCGTGGTTATCCATCGAGCTGCTAATACCAAGGGCAGCAGTTTGAATCCACCAGCGGCTCCTCTGGAGAAAGACGGGGATTTCCACTCCCATAAAAAATTACAGTCCAGCTCGGAAGCAACAAAGCCCACATGGAAGAAGCACACAAGCCTGTGTGATCACGAGGAGTCAAAGGGATGAGGTATCAGGCATCAAAGAACAAAAAATCGTATCATTGTGAATGAGGTGGAGTGGAGACCCAAAGCCCATCTGTAGGCAACTGGACATTCCCTTATGGAAGGGTCTCAGGGAGGAGATGAGCCAGTCAGGGTGCGATGTAGCAACGATGAAACACAACTTTCCTCTAGTTCCTAAATGCTTCCTCTCCCACCCTCCCACCCCCACTATCATGATCCCAATTCTACCTTACAAATCCGGCCAGACCAGAGGATGTACACTGGTACAGATAGGAACTGGAAACACAGGGAATCCAGGGCGGATGATCCCTTCAGGACCAGTGGTGAGAGTGGCGATACCGGGAGGGTGGAGGGGAGGTGGGGTGGAAAGGGGGAACCGATTACATATAACCTCCTCCCTGGGGGATGGACAACAGAAAAGTGGGTGAAGGGAGACGTTGGACAGTGTAAGATATGACAAAATAATAATTTATAAATTATCAAGGGTTCATGAGGGAGGGGAGAGTGGGGAGCGAGGGGAAAAATGAGGATGCCAGGGGCTTACGTGGAGAGCAAATGTTTTGAGAATGATGAGGGCAACGAATGTACAAATGCGCTTTACACAATGGATGTATTTATGGATTGTGATAAGAGTTGTCTGAGCCCCCAATAAAATGATTAAAAAACAATTACAGTCTTGGAAACTGACGGGCAATTCTAGCCTAGTTCGATGTGACGAAAGTGAGTTTGGCTTTGGTTTGAAAGAGCCACTTGGACCTTTGTTGTAACCTACTATCCCATTAGGGAGGAGGGCTCCTTCCATAGACACACATCTGCATGAAATAAAAACTCGTCGTCCACCTTTATCAGATTGGAACCGGCTTCTATTGGCACAGCACTTGAGGAACCCGGGTGGCACAGTAGTTCCATATTGGGTCACTCACAACAAGGTCAACGGTTTGAAACCACCAGGTGCTGTGTGGGAGAAAGATGAGGCTTTCTATTCCTGTAAAGACTTCCTGTCTCGGAAATCCACAAGCTTGACTCAATGGCCGTTGCGTTTTTGGGATGCGGGAAATGATCTTTCTAGAAAACCCGCTTAAGACATTTTAAACACACTTTATGTGAAAGACAAGAAACTCAGCCAGAGTTCTCAAAAGAACTATCTTCACCCCTTGACCCATGTCATTTGGCTTCCACCCCCGGCCATTAGTTAAGTGCAACCGCTCCCGTTGACCTATCAACACCCTCCCATGTGTCCAAACTCAATGGGCAGATTTTCGTTTCCATTGACCATGTTCTCCGTGAAACGCCTCCTTTAGCTCCCAGAATGCTGTTGTCTCTTTACTCTTCTACTCTGACCATTGCTGAGTTCTTATCAGTAAGGAAGACTGGAGAAGAGTTGATGCACTGGAAATACGCTGTTGACACAGATTACTGAATGTCCGTACCAGTACCATGACTGGTCAGCAAACAAACCTCCCTGTCTTGGGAGAAGCTAGGGTGTGCCTTCGGGGCGAGGATGATGAGACTTTGTCTCACCTACTTTGGGCATGAAAGCAGAAGGGCCCAGACCCTGGAGAGGGACATCATGCTTGGTAAACTCTGGAGGGTCTCTGAGAAAGAGGAAGCCTCTCAGGGACTCGGTGACCCGCGTGGACACCGGCTGCCACAATGAGCTGAAACCCAGCAATGATCATGAGGGTGACACAGCACCAGGCCATGCTTTGTCGTGTTGTACATAGATAGGGGCACTATGCCATGGCACCTCACATCAGCAACCGCATCCAGTCGCCTGCCCTTCCCCTGTCTCTTTAAGTGCTGGATTCCCTTCCCCTGGTGGTCTATCACAGCTTACATGCTGATCCCTAACCGGTGCCACCCTCCCCGTCCTTTGATTTGTTTCGTGCAAACAATTACTTGGTAGGCACCTCCACTTGCATGTCACAAAGCATCTCCAAATGTCCCCTGGTCCGGCTCATCCCCTGGTCTGCTTTGGCACATTGGTTCCGTGGCATCAAGCACAGGGTCCTGCCAGAGAGCAAGGACGTCACGGACAGTTCTGTGGCTCCCGGTGTCCTCCCTCTAAAGTGCCCTGGTTCCGATTCGACTAAGCCCAAACCCAAACCACATCCACCACACCCATTCTGACTCAGGGGGGAGCCCTCTATAGCAGCGGTTCTCAACCTGTGGGTCGCGACCCCTTTGGGGGGTTGGTTGAACGGCCCTTTCACAGGGGTCACCCGATTCCTAACAGCATGGAAGTACCGTGATGAAGTAGCAACGGAAGTAATGTTATGGCTGGGGGTCACCGCAGCGTGAGGACCTGTATGCAAGGGTTGCGGCTGGGTCTTGGAAATCCACAGGGGTGGCTCTGAGTCAGCATTGACTCGGTGGCAGTGAGTGGGTAACGTACGTACACACACACACACACACACACAGATTGATTTCAAGGACATGGCTCACGCAGATGGCAAGTCCCAAATCCGTGAGCCAGACTGGAGGCTTCTTCTCCTGACACCCGTGCTTGCAGGCGCGGATGAACCCCAAACGGGCAGATCCCACAGCAGGTTGCTAGCTCCCCTCCCAAGGAGCAGAGGTCAGATGTTGACAAGTTGGATGCAGGATGAAGAGGATGCGCTTCTCTGGACACGACCAAGTGGCTGTAGGGAACACCTGCAAGGAAGCGGTCCTTAAATCAGGTGACACGTGAAGGCTAACTGGATCACATCAGCCATCACATTCATTTAGCACCTGGCGGCAGAATAGGAACTTGATGACGTGGTGTATTTCATGCACGCATACCCGTCTGCTGTCAGGTACCGTCCCTTTGGCCGAGGACATTGAGAGGACAGTCCAGTGGACAGAGCAAGGTGCTTGGCTCTCTGGGCTTGTGTTGTTACCACGCAGACTGTGCGGCATCACGACAGAAGGTCCCAGGTGTAAATTTCCTTTTGGTTCTCAAGCACCACATCCCACGGCCCGAGGATCGTGCTCGTAGCAGCAGTCATGCGCTCGCAGGTTAGAGCAGCCTACGCTTGTGGCAGGGCTTTTGACGGCTGTCCCCTGTTTTAATGGATGGTGTTTATTTGCAATCAGTTTTACAAGGTACATACTGTTTATCTACTCCACATCACAGGAGGAGAAACAACAGCATAGGGAAGTTTAATAATTTGCTCACAGAGAGAGGGGGCTATTGGAATCAGATTCAAATGATTTATTTTTGTGTGTGAATATATAGGTGGGTTTTTCCTTATTTACTGTCCAATTTTCTTTTTCTTTTTTTTTTAACTGTCCAACTTTCACATGCATGCGAGGTGATTGAAAATACCCTGGCACTGCTGAAGTAGTGGATTAAAATATTTAGGGTTGATCAAACAATCTTCAACATACTTGTGTAATTCCAGATCCCTTGATGCAGTACACAGGGAAAAAAATCCGTGCTATCAGGAGGACATTTGATGATGACTCAGATAAAGGGGAAGAACAATTTACATCACTTGGGACCTCGATGTTAAAATGGGATGCTTTATTAGTTTATGACAGCGCTGAGCAGACGCGTCTGTGGCTGTCACCTACCCGCTGACTTGGGTCCAGCTCCCAGCAGCCGTGTTCACAGCAGAAGGAAACATGCCTGCTTCCGTGACAGCCACGGAAGCACCGTGGTAGCCACTGTGCCACTTTGCCGACTTACTGAAGGTTTTTCCTTTTTTTTTTTTTTTTTAATGTTTGTCCTCTACTTGCTCAAGCACGATGTCATTCTTCAGGAACTGGTCCCTCGTGAGGACATGTCCAAGGCACATGACACAAAGTCATGACCATCCTTTCTTTCTTTGAACTGAAAATACGTTGGACTAAATGCCTATGTGATCATATCCCCTTTCCTGGGTAAATAAAACTGTCCAGTG